AAATACTCCAGACACAATAGTCCAACGGATTGGTATCCGATTGGTATAGCGAGGAACCTCATTTTGTAACCATTCTTGGGTTGGGCGTGCTGAGTGCGATGGTGTTGAGACCTGTTGGAATGTTCAAGGTCTGCGGCCGAAATGTTTGCGTGCCCAAAGCTTTAATACGCCATCCAGAATATTTTCGCGATAATATTCGGCATTTATTCCGATGCCACGGTCGATTAATACGAGCGGAGAACGACCATCGGCTGTTATGGCGGCCCACACCATTACCATGGCCGGCGCTTGAGTTCTGGTCTGGTTCTGGCCAACCGAAGGTGCTCATTTTCAGCTGACCTCTTTGGCAAGTAAACATGATCATTTTTTATACCCTCCACCTTGGAAAGGAGGGTATATTAACTTTGTCATTCCGTTTGTCCTTAAATATTCGTCTTAGACCCCATAAAGTATATATATTCATAATCAGCATAAAATTCTAAGTCGATTTAACGATGTCCGTCTGTCCGTCTGTCTGTCTGTCTGTCTGTCTGTCCGTCTGTCTGTTGAAATCACGATACAGCCCACATTATTTGACGTAGAGGGCCAAAATTTAGCAGAGCTATTTGCATTGTGTTCTGAAAATTGGTATTTGTAGGTCATAACGGGTCCCTGAGCGTGTGGCAAAACATTGCATGTATAGGTCCACGTTGTGGTATAGCCCCCATATAAAGGTACCTCCCGATATTCGGTATTTTATTTTATTTTGCCACATTTTTTCACGGATTTGTCTAAAAATTGGTATATGTGGGTCATAATGGTTTCCAGCTCCGGTGGCGAAACATTGCATGTATGGGCCCATGATTTGGTATAGCCCCCATATAACGGTACCTCCCGATATTCGGCATTTTGATGGTTTTTGCCACATTTGTTCACTGATTTGTCTAAAAATTGGTATTTGTGGGTCATAATGGGTGCCTGAGCGTGTGGCAAAACATTGCATGTGTAGGTCCACGTTTTGGTAAAGCCCCCTTATAACGGTACCTCCCGATATTCGGTAATTGGATGATTTTTGCCACATTTTTTCACGGATTTGTCTGAAAATTGATATTTGTTGGTCATAATGGGTTCCAGCTTCGGTGGCGAAACATTGCATGCATGGATCCATGATTTGATATAGCCCCCATATAACGGTACCTCCCGATATTCGGTATTTTAGTTTTTTTGCCACATTTTTTCACGGATTTGTCTAAAAATTGGTATTTGTGGATCATAATGATTTGCAGCTCCGGTGGCGAAACATTGCATGTATGGGTCCATGATTTGGTATAGCCCCCATATAACGGTACCCCGATATTCGGTAATTTGATGGTTTTTGGCACATTTTTTCACTGATTTGTCTAAAAATTGGTATTTGTGGGTCATAATGGGTTCTAGTTCTTGTGGCAAAACATTGTAATTATAGGTTCACCTTTTGGTGTACCCCCCATATAACGGTACCTCCCGATATTCGGAATTTTATGGTTTTTGCCACATTTCTTCTAATGTTTCTTTTACCCCAAGGTGGAGGGTATTAAAAGTTTGGCCCGGCCGAACTTAATGTTTTTTACTTGTTTTGTTTACAAACTGCTGGACAACGAATTTTTTCTCATCGGAGTAGAGCAAATTCGGCAGTTCACAACTTTCGGCCAAGCGAAGCAACTCTTTAGCTCTTTTGAGTCTAATTTCTTTCCGTTGCGGTGTAGGTTCTTGCACTTTTTGGGTTTTCAATGGCTTTACCCCGAGCTCATTTTTCAATATTTGCCGAATGGAATATTGCGATATGTTCAGCTCACGAGCCATTTTTCGGCCTTGCCACTGCGACGCGGGTTTCGATCAAGTTGTCGCTTCTTTACTTTTCGAACCATTTCTGCTGATGTTGCTGTTTTCTTCCGTCCACTTCCTTGACGTCGGGCTACGCTACCAGTATCACGGTAACGAGCGATGGTACGAGACACAAAAGATAGCCACTTGTGGTTTTCCAACCAAATATAAAGAAATCACACTATCACGGTTGAATTCCATCACGAATAACTTTTTTCTGGAAAATTCTGATCAAAATGCTTTTAAACAATATAATGATCTGTAAATTGAATAATTTTAACAGCTGTCGGACAAGTGGCTTAGAAATGAGTTAGTAGTCTGAAGTTGGTAGCAGTTTTTTCGGCTCACCCTGTATATAGAATCAGAATCAACGGTCAGACGAAACGACAGAAGCTGGAATCTTGAAATTTTGCACGAGGGTCAGTCTTGGTACGCAGACATGTGATAAGGATGGGAAATTCGTACTAAAAGGGTACGAAACGTACTGCAATGTACTAAAAATTGAATTATTTGTATTGGAATGAGAGTCACTGATGGAGTGCAGGATAGATGTAGCAAAGGGTTTTTGGAAATTCGAACTTTAAGATTACGAAAAGCTCTTAAATGGTACTAAACTTCTAAAATCGAAATGTGTACTAAGTGTGCGAACTGTAGTAAATCGTACTAAATTTGGAACAGTTTAGTTTAGGGTGAACGGATGAAGCTGGAATTTTAAAACTTTGTATTGGGGTCCCTGTTGGTGGTAGATTTTTGATAAAGAGGTGGTCTTGGAAATGTGTACTACAAGTGTATCAAAACCACAAAATAGTAACATGTTTGGTACAATTTTGTATTAGGTGAAGAGATAGTGATTGAAATAGTATTTGGAGGAGGTGGTTTTGGAATTTCATATTTTAATTCTACGAAAAGTACAAAAGGATACAATATTTTGTATTGGGTGAATGGATAGAGATACAATTCTGAAATTTAATATTAAAATTAAGGGTGGCCTTTGAAATTGAGATTTGTCGTTGGTTGGGAAATGTATCCTATATTTGTGGGGAAAAATACTTATTGATCCCGAATTTGATATTAGAAGGAATAGGACTGGAATCCTCAAAGTTGATATTGAGGTACTAAATTGAGTATTGGGTGAGGGTGTAGATCTGAAATCCTGATATTTGATATAGATGTCACTGTTGGTGTCTGTGGTTAAGATATGGTTGGTTGGTCCACTTTTGCTAAAGTCCTTATAATTTAATCTAATCCCGATTTCAAGTATTTTTTACGTTTTAGTCATATTTTCCATTTGATTTCGCCGAATTTAGATACCTTTAGTCCTGATTCTGGAGAAACACTACTTGAAAAAATATATCAAAATGGGTACACGTTTTTGTACCCCATGATTTTTGTTATCGTGAAAGTTTTGACCATATATTCCAATCGCTGTGCCTGAAAATTTGCATTTTATTTTCTTCGGTGGTAGAAAACCTTTCCACAGAATTTCGAAAAACCCTTTATTTTGTATATTCTACACAACTTCAACGACTATCGGTTCATATTGCAGATTTCCAGCTGTACTCTTCTCCAAATACCAAAGTTAATACAATTTGATACTTTTCGTACAATTTAGCACGAATTTCCAAATCCCACACAAAGTATTAGCCAATCCGCACAACGGATGATCGTAATGTCAAATTTTTGACTTCCAACTCAATACCTTGCACAAATTCCAAATTTAGTACCATTTAGTACTACATTTAGTACGTAGTTTCAAAATCACCTCCAAATCTCAACCCTATAAACTAACAGCGATGCTAATGTCAAATTTCAGATTTCGAGCACTATTCGTTCATGCAAAACAAAATTTGGTACCATTCACTACCGTTCGGGCGCATAAGTACAAATTTTGAAACTGATTTCCACAGCCCAATGCAGCGTACCAATAGTAATCTTAATTCCATATTTCAGGATTCCAGCGCTATCGGTTCAGCCAAATCCAAAATGTACCAAAATTAGAACATTTTAGTACACATAGGTACCAATTTCCAAAACATCCTCAAAATCCCAATCCTATGCTCCGATAGTAATCACATTTTCAAATTGCAGGATACCAGTTCTATTTGTTCACCCAAATCAAAATTGTACCAAAATTTAGTAACATTTAGTACTTCTTAGTACGTATTTTCAAAATCTCCTCCAAATCTCAACCTTCAGATTTCAAGCCGTATCCATTCATGCAATACCAAATTTAGTACCATTCAGTACCTTTCGGTCGCATAAGTACCATAAGTTTCCAAAACTACCTCCATATCCCAATCCGACAATCCGATAGTAATCTTAATACCATTTTACAGGATTCCAGTGCTATCGGTTCAGCCAAATCCAAATTGTACCAAATTAAGTACCATTTAGTACAAATAAGTACACATTTTAATCTCATTTCTCCAAAAATTTAAATTCTACCAAATTTTGTACAATTTAGTACACATATGTACCAAAACTACCTCCATATCCCAATCCTATGCTCCAACACAAATCTTATATTCAAATTTCTGGATAAGAGTCCAAATCCAAATTGTACCAGAATTAGTATCATTTAGTACACATAGGTACAAATTTTCATAACCACCTACATCATACAATCCAATAGAAATCTTATTTCCAACTTTCAGTATTCCAACTCTTCCGGTTCTCCAAAATTTTAGATTGTACCAAATTTAGTACATTTTGGAACATTTAAGTACAAATTTCCAAAAATACCTCCATATCCCAATTTCAATCTTATTTCCAAATTTCTGGATACCACCACCCTTGGTTCATCCAAATCCAATTTGTACCATTTAGTACACAAAGGTACAAATTATGCATAACTACCTACCTTACACCATCCAATAGAGATATTATTTAGAATTTTCAGTATTCCAAAAATACCGGTTCTCCCAAAATTTAAATTGTACCAAATTTAGTACACATGAGTACGAATTTCAAAAACGTCCTTTCGCAAAAAGAAACATCGAATATTTTTTTCTTAATTTCTGTGACTATTTCAAATGTTGCCCCAAAAAAAGTGGGTGGGGGGTACCACAAGAAGTGGACCGATATTGCTTATCTCATACGCTTTTCCATCTCTGGATTTCGACATATATTTTAAAAATTATTTTTTTTTTCCTTTTCAGGTTTGTCTACCAGCCCGAGGTGTAAGTCATGCTGCCGGTAAACGTTGCACCGTAACAGGTTATGGTTACATGGGAGAAGGTACATTGAGAAGTAAAATATTTTTTCTGAAAATTCAATTAAAATTTTTATGTTTTTTTTTTCTCTCGATTAGCTGGTCCAATTCCGCTGCGTGTCCGTGAAGCCGAAATCCCCATTGTCAGTGATACGGAATGTATACGCAAGGTGAACGCTGTCACTGAGAAAATCTTCATTCTGCCCGCCTCCAGTTTTTGTGCTGGCGGTGAAGAGGGCAACGATGCTTGTCAGGGTGATGGTGGCGGTCCATTGGTGTGTCAAGATGATGGTTTCTATGAACTGGCCGGTTTGGTGTCGTGGGGCTTTGGTTGTGGCCGTGTCGATGTACCCGGTGTCTATGTCAAAGTGTCATCCTTTATTGGTTGGATCAATCAAATTATTAGCGTCAATAATTTATAGTTGCATAAAATTGAGTCTTAATAGGATCGTGCAAAATATTTTCAAAATAAGTTTAGTTCGCTTAGTTGGCGTGCAATTTTTACCCAGATAAGAGGAGATAAAAACACAAAAAGCGTAAATATTGAATTATTCTATTCGTAATGTACTCGCTGTGCGATGCGTTGAGTATTTTACGAATATAAATGATTCGAATAGAGTTATAAACAAAGCATACACACACAATATATGTTGATTATACAAAAAAAAATACATACATGCCTATGTATTTGAAGAGTATCGAACTTATATGTGAATACATAAATATATAAGTACCAAAAGATAATAAGCAATTACTACATATATTTATTTCATTTTAAATAAACGAATACGACTGTTATTTTTTATTATTAGTAATTTTTTTAATATAACTACATAAATATACATATAAATTGTATTTCTTTTCCTTTGCTTCATTTAGTATGCCTACATATACATACACACACATATATATATATATGTGGATAAATATTACTAATGTTATTTTAAATTATGTAATTTCTTTGATTTAAGACTTCTATTCAGAAAATAACAATAAAATCATTACAATACCAACAAAGACAATAAATATCTACACACATAAATTATAAAAGGAACGAAATTATTTGTATATATTTTAAGTATATTTTTTATAATAAATGATAATAAAAAATAAAAGGATTTTAATTAATTTGTTAATAGATTATAGTTTAGTAAATAGTGTCCGGTACTTCGTCGGCGAAAAGTACATCCGAAAATTTTAGATTCATTCCATCAGTACTCAAAATGGAAATTTTTTTTCCAATTTAAAAAAAAAAACAAGCTAAAAAGCAGTAAGTTCGGCCGGGCCGAACTTTGAATACCCTCCACCATTTGCAACGAATTTGGAAATTTTCAAAAATTGAAATCCGTTAAAAATTCTGTTAAAATCTTAAAAATACCGAATATAGCCGTTATATTGGGGTCCATGCGACTTGGCCCTACATAGGCATTGTTTGTTATAAGCCATTACCATATTATAAACGGGTATAATGTAGCATACACGAAGACCTGGACCTGTATAGACAATTTTCTGTCACTGACTGTAGCATTCATTACGAACTTCAAATACGACATATCAAACAATTTCGGTGAGTATCGTACCTAAAATCGTCAAAATATCGAATATAGAGAGGTACTGATATATGGGTCTTATACGAAGACCTGGACCTGCATAGACAATTTTCTGTCACAGACTGTAGTTCCCATTACGAATTCTAAATACGTAACTTGAAACGATTCCGGTGAATAATGTCGCTACAATCAACAAAGTACCGAATATAGGGAGGTACCGTTATATAGGGGGCTATACGAAGGCGTGGACCTGCATACACAATTTTCTGTCATAGGCTGTAGTATCCATAACGAACTTCAAATTCCAAATTTGAAACAATTCCGGTGAATAATGTCGCTAAAATCATCAAAATACCGAATATCGGGAGGTACCGTTATATGAGGGCTATACGAAGACGTAGACCTGCACAGACAATTTTCTGTCTTAGGTTGGAGTACCCATTAGGATCTTTCAGTATGAAATTTGAAACGATTCCGGCGAATAATGTTGCTGAAATCATCAAAATACTGAATATCGGGAGGTATCGTTTTATGGGAGCTATAGGAAGAATTGGACCTGCAGACAAAAATTTTTGTCATAGGCTGTAGTACACATTACGAACTTCAAATACAAAATTGCAAATAATTTCGGTAAATAATGTCGCTAAAATCATCCAAATACCGAATATCGGGAGGTACCGTTATATGAGGGCGAGACCTGCACAGACAATTTTCTGTCTTAGGTTGGAGTACCCATTAGGATCTTCCAGTACGAAATTTGAAACGATTCCGGTGAATAATGTTGCTGAAATCATCAAAATACCGAATATCGGGAGGTACGTACCGTTATATGGGTGCTATTCGAAGACGTGGACCTGCACAGGCAATTTTCTCCCTTAGGTTGGAGTACCCATTAGGATCTTCCAGTACAAACAGACACAAACTTAATATCAAATTTCTGGATTCCAGGGGTATCCATTTCCAAAACCACCTCCATATCTCAATCCCAGATACCAACAGAATTCCCAATATCAAATTTAAGTATTCCAACCTTATCCCTTCGCCCAATACCAAATTTAGTATCATTTAGTATTTTTCGTACAAATATAATACACATTTCCGAAACCACCTCCATATGTCCAGGCTACAAATGAAATTTACCAAATTTCAGATTTTAAGCACTATCTGTGCACCTAATAACAAATTGTACCAAATATAGTACTATTTAGTACTTTTCGTGAACTTGAAGTTCACTTTTCCAAAATTATAATTTTATCCCAAAGCTATCACCAACAGGCACCCCAATACGTAATTTCAAAATTCCAGTTTCATCCGTTCAGCCTAAAATGTTTCCTTAAAAGGATTAACCGTTTTATACTCTACACCACATGGTGGTCAGGGTATTATGTCTTTGTTTGTAACGGGCAAAAGGAAACGAGATTGTCACACGGTTCCTTTTGATGATCTGCATAGAATCACATTCTTAGTCGATTTATGCATGTCCGTCCGTCCGTCTGTCCACGTATTTTTGTAAACAATGTACAGGTCGCATTTATTGCCCGATCCAGATGAAATCTTGCACAAATTATTTGTTTGATACAAGGACGAATCCTATTAAAATTGGAGATAATCAGTCAAAATTTAGATATAGCTCCCATATATATCTTCGTGCAATTTGCTTTTTATTGTGCATTTAACGTGTAATACCAGCCCAAATAGTATGGAATTTGGCATATACGCCCAGATTAGGCCGGAAAATAAGTATGCCAAATTTGATGGATATCGGTTCAGATTCCAACTCCCGATAGATCCCATATATATTGTTCCTCAAATTTGTGATTTTTGTCCTGCACATTGGTAATATACACTCTGTAACAACAATATTTGGGCAAATTTATCAATTACAGCTCAGAAATACCTTTGCTAAATTTTATCGAGATCGGTTCAGATTTGGATAAAGCTCCCATATATAACTTCGTCCGATTTGTCTTTTATTGTGCACCAAACGTCTAATATTTGTCCAAATGGGATGAAATTTGGCACTTACGTCCGAATTGAGTCTAGAAGCTAGTATGCCAAATTTGTTGAAGATCGGTTTAGATATAGCTATAGCTCCCATATATATTGTTCATCCGATTTGTTGTATTTGTTACCCACAGCCATAATATGCACTCCGTAACAATGATATTCAGGGAAATATATCAAATGCAGCTCAGAAATATCATTGGTAAATTTTATCGAGATAGGTTCAGATTTGGATATAGCTCCCACATATATATCTTTATCCGATTTCAAATTAATTGCGCACCAAATGGGCAATACTGGTCCGAATTTAAAAGATACAAATGCTTTGGCATATTTAGTCCTTTGAACTTTGAAATTATAATAATAGCGTGTATGATTGAATTCTCCCATAAAAAAAAACTTTTAATTGTTATGTGGAGCTCTACTAAATTAGCAAGGTGGTGTAGGCTATCATAAACTCGGCCCCGCCCGACTTTAAGACTTCCTTTACTGGTTTATTTTTATAATCTGCGGTAATATTTTAAAGCTTTTGCTTATTGTTTAAATTTCGGTGTTTATCATTGTCCTTTTCGAATTCCATATTTACTTGACCCAGTCTTAAGGGTTTTTCTAATAAATCATAAAACATTTTCGAATTGTCATCAGCAAGAATTCTCTTTAGATAAAAATATAAGATCTGCTTGTTTATAAACTCTTAACAACATGCTGTGATGAACTTATTACAATTGTTTACACACAGACACACCGAGTAATGGGCTTCTAATGAAGTTGTAAATTATAACCCTATCGTCGAGTATGCAAAAAGAAATTATGCTTTCCCTAAAAGGTGATACACAGGATTTGCATATGCAAATATTCGCATAACAAGACAAATTTGCATAATGCAACTAATCCTGTGAAACTCTTAAAGAACACATGCACACGCACTCACACTTACACACACTCAACACAATTACTAATCACTTTCCTTTTTGCCAATAATCCAAACACTCAACGGGAGTCGAGAGCCGATTGACTGTCTGTCTACCCTCTACGACAGGCACCAAGCAATAATTACACAGGGGTTAAAGGTTGTGCAAAAACACGCCGACTTCTTGCAACAAAGTCGTCAAACCAGAAGGCAAACCTCAAATTGACACCTCGAGAACTCGAGCCTTTGTCTTCCTTGTAAATCGATAATGGCAATCGATGATCGTTGATCAGATCAGATTTGCCAATTTGAGGGGTTGTTGTCCCATGCCTCTCGACACATGCCTCTGCAGATAAATGAGCTGTTTTATTTGTTGATACAACAACATGAATAGATTCAATACTTTTGCCATATTGGGGTGCAGTCTTAATTTTCGCAAATCAAATAAGAATGTTTTGCTGTATTTTCAATTGCCGGGTGGGGGAAAATGAAGGCTAGGTTTACATTATGTAATGTTTATAAGAAAATAATTTGCTATTTATATGGGAAAGCAGGTGTCATGTAGAAGTTGAGAACTATTTAAAACGGGTTGCAATGCTTGAATCGGTGATTGAATCAATGAAATGCTATTTTCGACAAAGCTAGGAAAACAGGTAAAAATGTGTTGAAGCCAAAAAAGTTTTTTTTTTTTTAATTTATATCCTAGAACACTATGTGTTATCAGTTTGATCGCAGCAAAACTTATGTAACACCTCCAAGTATTGTTCCTGCACATAGATGTTCAAATGTTCATTCTTTCAAATTTGGTATTTGATATTCGTAGTGGATACTACAGCCTATGACAGAAAATTGTCTGTGCAGGTCCACGTCTTTGTATATCTCCCATATAACGGTACCTCCGTATTTTCGGTTCTTTGTTTATTTTAGCGACATTAATAACCGGAATTCTTTCAAATTTGGTATTTGATATTCGTAATGGATACTAAAGCCTATGACAGAAAATTGTCTGTGCAGGTCCACGTCTTTGTATATCCCCCATATAACGGTACCTCCGGATTTTCGGTTCTTTGTTGATTTTAGCGACAATAATAACCGGAATTCTTTCAAATTTGGTATTTAATATTCGTAATAGATACTAAAGCTTATGACAGAAAATTGTCTGTGTAGGTCCATGTCTTCGTATAGCCCCCATATAACGATACCTCCGGATATTCGGTTCTTTGTTGATTTTAGCGACATTATTCACAGGAATTCTTTCAAATTAGGTATTTGATATTCGTAGTGGATACTACAGCCTATGACACAAAATTGTCTGTGCAGGTCTACGTCTTCGTACCTCCCAATATTCGGTATTTTGATGATTTTTGGCACAATATTCATCGGAATTGTATCAATTTTGGTATTTGAAGTTCGAAATGGATGCTACAGCCTAAGACAGAAAATTGTCTGTGCAGGTGCACCTCTTCGTATAGCCCCCATATAAAGGTACCTCCTAATATTCGGTATTTTGATGATTTTAGCGACATTATTTACCGGTCGTATATCCCCCATATAACGGTACCCCCCGATATTCGGTACTTTGTTGATTTTAGCGACATTATTCATCGGAATTGTTTCAATTTTGGTATTTGAAGTTCGTAATGAATTCTACAGCCTATGACAGAAAATTGTCTGTGCAGGTCCACGTCTTCGTATAGCCCCCATATTAAGGTACCTCCCGATATTCGGTATTTTGATGATTTTAGCGACATTATTAACCGGAATTCCTTCAAAATGTGGTATTTGTTGTTCGTAGCGGATACTACAGCCTAAGACAGAAAATTGTCTGTGCAGGTCCACGTCTTCGTATAGCCCCCATATGACGGTTCCCGATATTCGGTATTTTCATGATTTTAGCGACATTATTTACCGGAATTATTCATAATTTCGTAATAGGTACTACAGCCTATGACAAAAATTTTTGTATGCAGGTCCAAGTCTTCGTATAGCGCCCATATAACGTTATCTCCCGATATTCGGTATTTTGATGATTTCAGCGACATTATTCCCCGGTATCGTTTCAAATTTCGTACTGGAAGATCCAAACGGGTACTACAACCTATGGCCGAATTTAGCTTAATTAAATTCTGAAGCACCTTTTTATATCCTACTCCACATATTATGTCTCGGTGCATTTGTTTGTAACATGGAGAAGGAAGCGAGATAGTCCCAAAGTTACTTTTGAGGATCTCCATAGAATCACTTTCTGAGTTGATTTATGCATGTCAGTCCGTCCGTCTGTCCATGTATTCTTGTGAACAAAATGCAGGTCACATTTATTATCCGATTGAGATGAAATTTTTCAAACAACATGCTTGCTCCAAAGACGAACCCTATTGAAATTGGAGATAATCGGCGGAAAATTAGATATAGCTCCCATATATATCTTCGTCCGATTTGCCTTTTATTGTACACCAAACGTGTTATATCAGCCCGAATAGTATGGAATTTTGCACATACAACCAAATTAGGCCTGAAAATAAGTGCGCCAAATTTGATCGAAATCGGTTCAGATATAGCTATAGCTCCCATATATATTGTTCATCCGATTTGTTATTTTTGTCCACCGCAGCCGTAATATGCACTATGTAACAACAATATTTGGGGAAATATATAAAATACCGCTCAGAAATACCTTTGCTTAATTTTATCGAGATCGGTTCAGATTTGGATATAGCTCCCATATATGACTTCCTCCGATTTACCTTTTATTGTACACTAAACATTAAATATTTGCCCAAATGTGATGGAATTTGGCACATGCGACCGAATTGAGTCTAGAAGGTAGTATGCCAAATTTGGTGAAGATCGGTTCAGATATAGTTATAGCTCCCATATATATTGTTCATCCGATTTATTGTATTTGTTACGCACAGCCGGAATATGCACTCCGTAACAACGATATTCAGGGAAATATATCAAATACAGCTCAGAAATATCTTTGCCAAATTTTATCGAGATCGGTTCAGATTTGGATATAGCTCCCATATATATCTTTATCTGATCTCAAATTAATTGTGCACCAAATGGGCAACACAAGTCCGAATTTAAAAGAAACAAATGCTTCGGCATATTTAGTCCTTTGAACTTTAAATTACAATTATAATCATAGCGTGAATGATTAAATCCTCCCATCAAATCTTTTAATTGTTATGTGGAGCTCTACTAAATTTGCAAAGGGGTGTAGGGTATCATAAAGTCGGCCCCGCCCTACTTTAGGATTTTCTTTACTCGTTTTATTTATTTATTATTATTATTTTTTTTTTTTTTTTGAAATGGTAGCAACTAAGTTTGCCCTTCGCAATTTTATGTTTTAAAATATTTATGAGTATTGGAAGACATGCTTCCAAAGAATGAATCCTTGCTTTCCCTGAATAGATCCTTCAGAATTTTACATATATACATATAAATATTTTTTTTTTTCAGCAAAAACGTTTATTTTAGTGACGACATTCGGTGAAAGTATTCAGTTGCAAATTAGCATTTAAACGGCAAAGTTCGAGTTTCTTAGCAAAGGCGAAAATAATAAATACCCTAGACATTCTCATAAATTTGATATTCCTCACCATGAATCATATAAAAAATACACAATAGATAATTAAAGAAACAGAATCCTTGAATGCATGTGTATCCTTAAAAAATACATTTTTCTATTGTATTCCAGAAATACGTTAAAGTTCTATAGAAAAACCAAACAACATTTTCTAAGCCTATAGACAGCAAAAGCCGTTATTTCTGTATTCCTAAAAAATTGTCTTATAAATTTCCAAAAGTGAAAAAAGAACTTTGCGCCAAAATCTAATGTCAGCTTCCTTAAAAATTCCCCCATGTACCAAACAATTGTCCATTTGAAATGCCTACAGCACCATGTCGAACAATAGAAAAATAATTAAAGAAAAAAAAAACATATTTCCACAAAAAAAAAAACTTCAAAATTCACTTGGTAAATAGGCAAGAAGGAGATAGACAAATAGTTAAGTTTATATAAAAAGAATATCACACACATACACATGCAGATATTCAACCAAATCACATTCCTATGCAAATGCCAAAAAATGTGTTGATCTACAAGGACATAACGTAACCCTCTTCAAATTGTGCGTATTAAATGAAAAAAAAAATAGATTTCTATTTACTCTCAAAGGCGGAGTCCAAGGAGAGAGTGAGAGAGCGAGAGTAAGAGCGAAATTGAGGGTCTTTAATACATTAGAATTAAGAGCTAGGAATCCAATAAGATCAGTTTTGATTTCACCCTTAACTGTTCAACTTTGACATGCATGGGTGAGTTCGTTGATTTGTTGAGAGAACCTTTAACCCTTTCACCTTGGCCCCGGTAATGGGAGAGGGTATCCTGTGCTATCAGTGCGTGTGTGTGTGTACACTTAAAGAACATTTCCTTCCCCCAAAGGATTGCTTGTGGTGCCATGCCAAGGGTATAATGAAATAAAAAAGCCGTTTAACAAGATTCCCTGAGAGAGAGAGAGGAAGTTTGTGTGTGTGTGCGCATGCGTGTGTGGCCAAGTTTGCGTCGTGCAAGGGTTACGATAGTGTCCACCAAGCCAAAGGCTCAACAGAACACAGTCTGATCTCGTCCAGAGCGGTACTACAGTTTTAAAAGAAATTATCTAAGAGAAACTTCGTATATTTTTCAAAAAAAGAAAAAAAAAAACAACAACAACGAGTTGACTTTTTATTTAGTTAATTGTTTTGTTTTTAAATTTAGTTTATTTTTTTAATGATTTCTATTTAGTCAGAATAGTAGTTTAATAGATAAAAAGAAGAAGAATTGCATGGTTATACCTGTGGTGTTGTTAGTTCTCTGTTTTCTCCTTGTTATTTCTCCACGTTGTGTGTCCTTTTCCCTGGGACTTTGTTGTTAAGTTTTTTTGTGTGTGTGTGTTTGTTTTATTGTTGTGTTTCGCGAAATTTAAAAAAAAAATCAAAATATGGAATCTTCAAACGGAAGTTCAGCTCAGTGTTTAACAACAACATCCGCCAGTACGACAACAAATGCCTCTACAGCCACCTCCTCCGCCGCCTCAATAACATCGTTGTCCACACCATTGGCTTTGACAACAACATCATCTTCATCGCTATCCGCCTCTGCCTGTTCCACACCGGCCACAATTAGCAGTAGCTGTGGCAGCCTTGCCACAAATCTAACAGCTGCCGCTGCCTCATTTCCACAACAACAACATACCCCACTTTTGCAAATTCTACCTTTGGATACCGGCAAACAGGATGACAGCAATAATTTGTCCTTGGCCAGTGGCATATCGGAGGGTCAACGTTCCCTCTCGGCAGCACCGTCGGCATCATCCAGCCCCATACTGAGTCCGCCGAATAAGATTTTTGGACGCAATGCAAATGGCACAAGTAAGTAGCGAACAATTTTTTATTTTATTTATATTTATATAAAAAATATAATATTGAAATTAATTAAAAAAAATTAAAAGGAGAAGGAAATGGGAAAACTTTGGAATTTTTAACAAAAGTCATGATCGGAAATTTTTGGTGACAAAAAAATCAATTACATAAATATATCTTTTTTTAATAATTTAAAATTGGGGTATGGAAAAATGTTTTATTTTTTAAGTCACGAAATAATTTTTGGTTTAAATGTTAGGATAGATAAGAAGTTCCCTTCTTAGACCAAGCTATTTTTTTTTTTTGGATTCAAATGCCTCAATTTTTATTAAATGTTAAAAAAACGTTTTTTTTTTCTTTCTTAAAAATAAAGTAATTCGAAAACGTAATTATTTAAATAAAAATAATTTGAAATTGGAATAATGTCATTTAAAAGCTTGGTTATTAAAAAGTTATTTTTTTAAGAAACTCATTAAAAAAAAAAAAAAAAACAAGAAAAAGAGTCTCGTCTAGACTAATCTTCGAGACAAATTTAGAATTTTTTATAACAAAAAAAAAAAAAAAATGAGTTCTCAAACAAGTCATTTTGGTTAAATGTTAATAGTTTTTGAATATTTTAAATTTCGAAAATTGTTATTGTATATAAAATCAAGTTTTTTGATGGAAAATTCAATAATTTCCATTAAAAATTTAAAAAAAAATATAATAATAATAAATAAATAAACAATTTTTTATAGCCAAAAAAAAAAACGAGTTTCTAAAAAAGTCATTGTGGTGTTAATATTTTTTGAATATTTGGTTTGTTTTTGAGTTCAAATTTCTGAAATCTTCCTATTTTGAAAATTCATATAAAAAATCTAGGCTTATAACCTCAATTAAAAAATATTTCTTCCCATCAAGTCTTCCTCAAATTTAAGGTACTAAGAATTATAACTACTTTTTTTTTTTCTTTATTTTTAAATTTGTTTCCATATTCAATACCTAACCTCAAATTCCAAAAAACAAAAAAAAAATAAATAAAAAACAGGTTAGTGGACTAGAATTGGCTCTTATTTTGAAGAGGTTTCAAAGTTATTTTGATGGAAAATAATTAAAATTTAAAATATCCAAAAAAAAAAAGACAAAATAAGGAGGAAATAATTAAAAAAAACTAATTAATTTTTTTATTCGAAATACTGAAAATAAAAGGGATTACATTTATGACTGAAAATGATGGGACACACTAGCAAACATTTCAATGCAAAATTATTTTTCACCCTCTCTTCTGTTTTGCTCCAGAAAATATCAAAATTGTATGTTTCCAAATATAATATTCAAAATCTACCTTCAATTTTTTTTTCGTAATTGTAATAATAAAAAACGTCTTCCGATTCAAATCAAACTGTACTATAACTCCAGAATTCTTTGAAAAATTAAAAAAAAGAAACTAAAAAGAATATGCAAATATTTGAAGAAACAAACAAAGGACCCCTCGGGGCGTTTGTCCTGGCATTCAGGTATTTTGGTGTTTTTAATGTATGTTAATCCTTTTTCCTCATGTTCGACATGATATGAATTCGTAAGTGACTGTTTTTTGTCGAAGAAAAATCCAATAAGAAAATGTAGACCTTTTATGTACTTCGAATAACCAACAGGAAGACCGGTAAATAATATCCTTGCGAGAGGGTAGTTTCTTTCAATCACAAATAAATTTAGGGGTGGTGTTTTCTGTTTGTGTCCCTCATTTTTTTTTTCTTTTCTCGTTTTTTTTTTTTTTTGTTGCCTTTAACCTATAGCAAGGCCTAGTTTTTAAAACAACAAAACAAAACTGTGGATACTATACTATTGTAATAATCGAGAAATTTTGATTGGATGTTATCTGTTCTTGTTGAATGTTAGTGGAATAAAATATGAACTAAGGGAGGATTTTTTGTTTTGTGATATTTTGGCAAAAGGTAATTCAGAAAATTGAAAAGAAACAGATTTCTATATAAAATAAAGTAGTAACGGTTGCAACCGTTTTTGGGAAACCGGTAAAACTTGTTGCCAATCTAAAAAAAACATTATTTCATTGCATTAAATATGGTTTTATTTGATTACTAAAAAAAATGTACAGTATTTGTTACCATTTAATAAAATTCGTATCCTAGAATGAGGTATTAGGAACAATTTATATTCTCCTTTTTAAAATTATAATTTTAGGCAAACCTTCTCAATAACATTCGATGAATTTTTAAATTCATGTAAACTTCCTCAAATCAAACTTAATTACAAAAAAATTGATGCTGAACGTCATCTACACATCAATAAGACAAGGCTGAAAATGCATCCACTAGAGGGCATACGCTGCATATGGGAATTTATTTTTTCAACATATTCCCTATTTATCATTTTAATTCAAATGTTTTGAATTCCGATGTTTGCATATTTATATTTGTTTTTTTTTTTTTTAATTGATCTATGCAAAATATGTAAACTATCTCAAAGAACATTTCATTACAAAATTAATGTTGGGCGCCATCTACACATGAATAAGTCTAGGTTGAAATACATCATGTATGAAAAACACACGCTAGATGACACAAGCTACATTTAGGATTTCATTATTCCATCTAACTCCCTATAGATCTTCACTTTCCGCAGAAAATTTCCTGAGTTTAAAAAAATCTTTGTTTTTTCATCCTTTTTTTTATAATTTTTCAATCATTATTTTCCAATTATTGTGATAGGTTTATCCCTTTACAATTTTAAACATGAAAACCGTACCCTTATCCGGAAAACTACTAAAGTCGAATTTAAGATTATTAAACATGACATCCTGTTTTACTACTTTCTTAGAAAAAATTTAAACGAAAATTGACATTTTTATTAAATTTTGCTAGAATAAAAATAGTAACTTAATTGCCAGCTTCTGATTGTCTGATATATCAATTTTGAAAGATTGCCATATAGATTTCACATTTTGCTAGTTTTCCTTTACTTTAGGGCCAAAATAGATCTCTTAGAGCCGATTTCACAAACTGTTTACGTTGAACGCCATCTACACATCAATATTATACCACCAATGTACAACAGAAGCATAGCCTATGTTTAAATCAAACTCGTGATCGAGAGGAAAAGGTATGGAACAATTCAAACCCAAATTCAAGAGACCGTCAAAAAGCTGTGGAACACTTTCTGATGTATATGAAAGTTTCTGAGCAAAAATAACGCAAATGTTCCCAGTAGGCCATCTGTATGAGTTTACATCGAACGCCATCTACGGATCAATACTGTACAACCAATTTTCAAGTGAAGCATAGTCTAGTTTCAAACGAGAGTTTAGGTCTTTTTCACAAAAGGTATTCGGTATAAAGAGAAAATAAAAATCATATTTGACAATCTTAAAGTTTAAACCTTCAAGGCGAAAAAAGAAAAAAAAAAAAATAAATTCAAAATTTATGCTGATGCAAGGCGCCATCTAGATATCAAAATGTTGACAATATTGTACTGTCTGTCTTTATATAAAATGTAAAAGAAAAAAACTGTTTCTTATATTTAATTTAAGGGGAAATTATCAAACAGTTCCCCCTAGATGTTAACATTGGATTTACAATTTAATTCTTGGATTGAGTGAGAAATTTGACAGAAATGAGGTATTTAAATTTAGACTTGCTTTGAAGTCCCTATACCTTTTCACCTAAATCAGTGTCCGCTTCATTAATTTTTCTCTTTTGCTCTATAATTATTGCTCCATGGGCCTCTAGAATTTAGTAAATTTTGACATTTATCGCTTAAAACAGTTCCCTCTAGATGTCAACTTTGGGTTTGAAAACTAATCCCTAAATTTAATGGGAAATTTGACAGAGTGGGGGTGGGGAGTATGTCAACCACAATTTAGTATTGCTTTAAATACCCTAAACCTTTTTTGATGGGCCTTGATCAATACCCGCTTTATTCATTTGTTACTTTTGCTCCATAATAATCATAGCTCCATAGCTCTCTCTCACACACACTCATTGATGGACTTTGATCAATTCTAGCATTATTAATATTTCTCCTTTGCTGCATAATAATCATATCTCTCTCTCTTTCTCTCACACATACACTTTAATCAATTCTCGTTTTATTCATTTTTCTCTTTTGCTCCATAATAATCCTAAGTCCCGCTCTCTCTCTTTAAAAATGAAAATTTCAAATATGTATCATTAGGAGCATAATTTTATATTAGCAAGGCTTTCAACCCAACGGCCATCTAGTGGCCGCATTTAAAATTACCACTCGTCTGAGATTTGATATCTTCAACCGTGGCCTGGTGGGGAGTTAAACAAAAAAACATTTCCCTTTTCCCAAAAGTATGAACTTTATTTTTATGCTTTAGTGTTTTTATTTTGCCAAGACTTTTCTTGCCTCAAAAATCTCTAGACTTTTGGGCAATTTTTATGAGCTTTCCTGCTGCAGGATCTACCAAAAACTATAAAAAGTATTGGCAGAAGAAACGTCTTTTTTTCTGTCTTTTTATAAACATAGGTAGGTAACTTTATAAATTCCAATGCATTTTTCTTAAATTCGAAGGGCCAAGTTATTGGTTTTTGTCATTATTATTGTTATTACTTTTTTTTCGACGTTGTGGCCACCCCACCAATCTTTTCCATCCAGCCAACCAACCACAAATACCAATATCGATTTATATTTTTATATTTAAAAAGCAGCAATGCCAGTCTTATGTTTTGTGATTATTGTTGGCCATTAGCACGTCTTTGCAGCCTTCAATTGTTTGTCCAAGGGGTTTTTCTTCCTCAGAGGTTACCTTGGGTTTTGTGGGGTTTTTATGATGGCTGGTGATGATGGTGGCTCCAAAAGAATTTTGATCGACAAAGAATTTGGCCATTTAAGAAAAACATTTTCTTTTTTAATTTATCATTGTGGCCACATAAAAACAAACAGTCTGCCAGCCATAAGACCTATTGCGTACGGCTGCCTGAGAACAAACAAATAGTTGTGTTGACACAACAGCAAGGATAATGATCATTAAGAGGTTGGTCTTTGGAGACATGGCCATTTCGTTTAATTTTTTCCTTTCTTCATTGTGACATATTGTTGCTGCTGCTGCTGCTGATGCCTGGGAGTTTTTCTTCCTTTGGCAATAATCAATTGCTTTAAATGACCAATCGTTGTGGTAATTTTTACCTTTGGCTGGTGATCATTTAATATTGCACATGCAGAGCAGAGTGGCCTCTGGAATCATCAGCACCATCATGGCCACCGCTAGTGGCATCACTATCATGCTTCCGCCTGGTTAGCTGTCGTATTTGTTTGCCTCCCCCCCTAGAGGGGGCGATTTTTTTTTTTTGCGCGTTTGAGTTTTGGTTTTGTCATTTTAAAATGTTGGCGGGTACTTAGGCATGTGGCGTCGTATGTCATTATAAATACTGTTGTATGGGCCTCCTGCTACCTATCTGCTTCTTCTTCTTCGTCGTCTTGTGTTGTCTGGACAAGTGCCAAAGAAACTGATTCTAAAGTTGTTGTGTGGTTTTTGTTGCTGCTGCTATTTGTTTCCTTCTTGTCATTTTTGCCCCATTGTCAGCATTGGTTTCTTTCACCTCTGGCTTAGATGATAGCCAGCCAGCCAGCCAGCCAGCCAGGCTAAAGAAGGGCAGCCTCCGTTTGGTGTGGGGGTTACCATGTTTACGCTCATTTTCACATTTTACTTATGAGCTGGCTGCTGTTATTTCTGCTATAGCCAACAAAAAAACCCAACAACATATTTAGCAAATGACAATGTTTGCAAAATGCTACAACATTCATTTAAAGAGGCAGCATTGTTAAATAGTTGGTTGGCTGGCTGGCTGGCCGGCGAGTGCGTTAACTTGGCCCCAACCAACAGCCCGGACAGTCATCATCACATTAAGTAATGAAGGAGGCAATACATATTGCCACCAGCACCAAGTTGCACGTTGTTGCAAAATCTGAAAAAAAAAACATTCTCTGCTCGATCTCTAGTAAATTTTAATGAAACCAATAATCATGATCATGATAAAAAAAAAACCGAGGCAACAACATGATAATATTCTTTTTTTCTTTCCTTTGTGTTATTGTCCCTGATGCTGTTTGGGGCTTTTTTCTTCGACTTCTGCATTGTTGTGTTTTTTTGTTTTGTTTTCGAATTTTGTTTAGATCATTTCTTTGTGGCTCGTTGGCTAGTTTCAGTTTCCCGCCACACATTTACTTTATATTAAAATCACGTATCATATATTTATTGCTGCAAAATACATTCTCCACTTTTTTTTGGTTTTTCCTTTGGCTTGTTTGTTGTTTGTTTTTTTTTTTTTTTGTCTTTTGAGTTTCTTTTTGCATTATATTTCACTGCATTTTGTCACTTGACAGCAAGGTTGAAAGGAAAGAAAGCTTCTCGATTTTAAGGATTCGTTGAAGAGAAAATGAGGGACAAATATATTCACGGGCAACCAGAGGAATGAAGTGATAAAAAAATCCTCTTTCCATATTGTGGGGCATGGGAAAAGCAAAAATTATTTTCTTTTGAATTCAATTGTCCGAAAATTTACATATGTACTTTACAGAGGCAAAATCAACACATTTCAAAAAAAAAAAAAAATCATACAAAAATTTCCATTTTACTTTTAATATCTTGAATTCATCTCATTTTTTCTCCATTTAACGTGCTAAAATCGCTCGGGAATGCTCTCAGAGTACGAAACTCTCTCCATTAAAAAATATGAACTAATTAATAAACTCTGCTGCGTACATTGTCTCAGCGAATTTGATGAGCCAAAGATATTCCCAATAAAAGAAGTGGCGCCCAAATGTTTTCATATAACATCTTAATACCTCAAATGGTATAGGTTTGAAAGAGGGTTGTGATTTTGGCTGCAAACACAAATCCTACCAAAGGAATCCCCAATTCATTTTTTATACCAACAAAACAAATGGCGCCCAAATGTTTAGATATATCATCTAAATAGCTGAAACTTGTATGGGTATAAAAGAGGACTATAACTCAATCAAACACAATTCTATTTTCATTGCAAAAAAGGGTTCTGACGACTATCAAGGTGGCGCCCAAATGTATGATCTTGGCTGCAACTTCATCAACCACAATTCATCCAAGGAACCACCAATTCAGTTTTTAGCCCAACAATAGAGATGGAGCCCAAATGTTTTGTTATAGAATCTAAATAGCAACTTGTATGAGCTTAAAAAGGCACAATAACCTTCAGGGATATAACTCAATCAAATACAATTCTATTTTGATTGCAATAAAAACCAAATGTTCTGGCGACAATTGACATGGCGCCCAAATGAATAAAAATTGGAGACTTATGTTTGTGGAATGTATTTATTTTATAGCCACACAATATCCAATTCCGATCGATTTAGACGCAAAAAAGTGTACTTTCTTGCTAAAATCACTCGAAGCTGACTTAAAAACGCATTAAAATAGTTGTACGATTTTGTTCTTGGGATATAAGAAAGAGGGAAAGATGATCTTGGCTACAACTCTATTTTTGAGATGGCGCCCAAATGAATTGACAATTGGCAACGAAATGAAATTTGTTGCAAATATTTATCCTATTTAGAGGTAGCTTTGCAATGAATGTAAATTTTATAGACCCACGATTGCAATTTCCGATCGTATTTTGAATTTATTTCTTTGAAAAAAAATCACTTGAAATCCGACTTAGAACCCATTGAAATACTTGTATAACTGGAGATTAGTTTAGGAAGAGTTGAAATAGGGCTATGACATTGGCGAAAACTTACGGTGACCTTGGCCATAACCTAAGGCAAGCACAATTCTATTTTTAGTAAAAAAAAATTAAAAGTTTTCTTGCATCACACGAGATGGCGCCCAAATGAATTGAAATTAGAGACTAACATTTGTAGCAAAAAACCTATTTTATCTGAAAGTAGCATTGTAAAGAACGCAAAATTTTTGGGAGCCACAATTTCCAATTCCAATCGATTTTAGTGCAATTAAATCAAAAGTTTTCTAGAAACGATCGAAATGGCGCCCAAATGATTTGGAATAAGAGACTTAAGTCTGTAAAAAATTTATATTTTAATTTATAGCCACGATTTCTAATTCCAATCGATTTAGACAAAATTGGAATTATTAAGGTATTGTACGCTGCAATATCTTTCTTAGATTGTTATTTTCATTAGTTCTCTCAGTAGCCGTTCAAAACGCCTCACTATTTCATCTAACAGTTTTTTCCTCAATTCCCTCTTTTCTTGTTTTTGGGCCAATTTGCTCTTTCATTGCATCTCTTTATTAAGAGAATCTTAGTCACATATTTTTCCAGAATATTTAACACAGTTTTTGCCATCTAAACCAGCCTCTGGTCAATGGAATGTCAACAAAATGACATAACTGGTCACATAACATGACATTAACAAAAATAAACATGTTTCTGGTCGCATTTTTTTAATGCCTGCCTTTCAGAAAAATTATTTCAAATAAAAAAAACTTAAATAGAAGACCACCGGAACATCAAATCTGAAAACAATTATCTATGAAAATTCTCACGCTTTCAATTGAAGGAATATTTACCCCTTTTTGGGTTAAAACTTCCACAAATCTTTAGAAAAAAAAACTGAAAGTGATAAACAACAACAAAAAAATTTGAATAAAAAATCTACCAAAAAAAAAAAAAAACAAGATAAATTAAAGCAGAACAAGCTGAATGATGATGATGATCCTTTTTTTTTTCTTCTCCCTTCATGAATTGTGATCAGTGATGGGTATTTAAATTTAACAGACAGACAAAAAAATCAAACCCCCAGACCATCCTCCCCTAAAGCCAGGCGAAATGAATCTCTACAATGCCGCCACCACGACAGAACAGGAAGACTTGTGTGTCCTTATTCAAATTAGTTTGAATGGTCGTTGAGAGACCGGTGTGGCTGGTTGACTGACTGGGCAAGGGTAGTAAAGTGAGGGCCAGTTTTTTTTGCTGTTGGGTAAAGGATTTATGTTTTTTTTTTTTTGGTGAAGTGAAGAAAGGGTTATGTTAGGTAAAAACATTGCATTTTATGGATAAAAAATACGTGATTTTTTTCTTATAGTTTTAAGAATACAGTGGGAATTTTGTCTTTCCGTTTTGTAGTTTTTTTTTCGAATCAAAAATCCCCTGAAAAAACTGGTTTCAAATGTTAATTTTTTCTGTTTTTTTTTTTTTTTTGTTTATTTTCAGTGGTGGCTACTTCTCGTCCCAACAATGAGGCCGAAGTTCAGCTGTATCGTGTCCTCCAGAAAGCCAGTCTCTTGGCCTACTATGACACCTTATTGGAAATGGGTGGCGATGATGTACAGCAATTGTATGAGGCTGGCGAGGAGGAATTTTTGGAAATTATGGCCCTGGTGGGTATGGCCTCAAAGCCATTGCATGTTAGACGCCTGCAGAAGGCCCTACATGAATGGGCCCTGAATCCCAGCCAATTTCAGCAACCTCTCAATCACAATGCTGGTAAGTTAGCAAATAACCTAACAATAAATGTTGGAGATTTTATTAAATTCCTTCTTCTTTTTCTCCTTACAGGTCAATTTGAAACTCCTGCCAAATCGAGCACTGCTATATACAATGCTGAGCTTTCTCGTTCTCCTGGACCCATACGTCCCAAATATCCAACATTCAATCCCAATGCCCCCTTTAATCCCACACCCTTGGTTAGTACGGTGGCTCCTGGTGCCACGGCCTCTGCCTCTGCCCATCTGTTATCACAAATTTGTTCCCTACCTCCCTTGCCTGCCCATAATCCCGTCACCAGCCATGTTTTGCCTCCCTCCTCCCTAAGCCACCCCACCGAAAGACCTCAAGCCTTAGGCAATATACCCCAAATGCCAGGTAATGCTGGAGTTGGTTCAAACACCTCCCACCAGGTTACCTCCAGCTCTCCCCAACTAACACCGGTTCTCAGTGAAATGCAGGTTGCTCGCATCACCATGGGTGCTGAGAAAATTGCCTCTCAGTTGCCACAACGTGAGCCGCGTGCCCATACCTCCAAGAAACGTACCAGCCGTGAGCTGGAACAGGTCATGGCCATGAGTGAAAATGATCCACGACGCATGGATGAAATTCGTAAGTATTCTGCCATATATGGTCGCTTCGATTGCAAACGTCGTCCCGAGAAACCATTAACCCTGCACGAGGTCTGCGTAAATGAGGCCGCTGCTCAATTGTGTCGTTTGGTGCCGGCCCTTTTAACACGCCGAGATGAGTTGTTTCCCTTGGCCCGACAAATTGTTAAGGATGCTGGTTTTGGCCATTCCGCCTCTATTGCCCGTTATGGTAATTTATTGACCCAAATGGTTGGCGCCACTCAAAATGCCTCCGGGCAAATTCGTTCGGCCTCGTCAATGCTTGAATGCGAATCGAATGAAACGAATAACTCCACACCAAACAAACGTCAGAGATTGGCATCTTCGGATGCTAGTTTGTCGTTAGCCGATAGTAATCGGGTAAGAGTAACAAAAAACGAACATTAAATTGGCATCGTTGAGCTTTAAAGTTTTATTTTTCGGGCTTCTGCTGGAATGGTTATGGCTTTTGAAAAAAGAGAAAAAGAGAGGATTACTCTTCCAAATGCAAAATATTTTTTACAGCTTTTGTTTCCCTGCAATGGTGGTGAGCTTTTTCAAGTATGGCTTTTTGTAAAGCTTTTCCTTAGAAAACGTTAACTTTGAAGCCAAATAGTATTGAGTTTATTGATTTCAGGTTTGCCATTAGATTTCCTTGGAGTGTCAAGATTCCGAAGCTTTTGAGAGGCCACGGAATTTTGAACTGTTAGTTGTGGCTTTTTGGAAAGCTTTAGCTGTTATTTTAATTTATTTATTTTAAAAGCTTTCCAGTCCCCGTCCATTGTATCTATCTTCATTCTTTAGATTAATAAAGCTCTCTGGGAATTATTACATTGTGTACATACCTGGGCAGATCCCTCATCCTGCTTTTAATAATTCTTAGCTATTCTTCCATTATCTATCGCTTAGACCTATAACATCTCTTCCTTTATATATCTTATTTATCTGCAATTGTTATAGTTTAATTTTTAACAATTTTCTGCTGATAGTCGCTTGTATTTAGCTATTATTTTCGGTTTTTTTAAAAACTTAACTTTTATAGTCATATCAGACTTTCTTCGAGGAGAATTCCAAGATGCTTCTTCGAAAAATCTGAAGACCCTAATTTTTTTGATGATTGTGTTGGAGTCCCTGACCAAATTTCCCAGTGGAATTGTGAAATATTTTTTCCAGAGTTGCCATTGCTAAAATTTGAAAATTCTATCGTTTTCTAACTGTAAATGTAATTTAAATATATAAAGCTTTTAGTTTTTAATTGCCTAGATTAATAATCTTTAATTTTTTATTTTGTTATTAACATTTGTAAAATAGTGCTTGGTAATGGTATATTGGTTTTTAATTATTTATTTTTAGTTGAGTTTTGTTTTTGTTTGTTTGGTTTTTTATTTAAAACTATTACTTTTATTTTGTTTTTGTTATTAGTTTTGTAGTCTGTTATTGTTAAGCTTAGCATATTTTATTTAAACATTTTCCACCAACGACTTCCTGTATCTGCTGCCAACTATTAATTTTGAATAAATGCTTAAAGAAAACCAAAAACAAATCCTGCTGCGTATTTATTTCATAGAGCCTTAAGAAAAAAAAGTAAAGAAATCCAAAACAAAGAAATACCACTAAAAAAATGCTAAAAAATCATAAAAATTAATCCTTTAAAGGATTCGGTGGAGGATCCACGTTACAACCTGTTTGCCATGTACCAGAAATTTGCAGCAAAGCCTCCCTTTGATTTGGCCGATATTGCAAAATTCACGTAAGTTTTTTTTTTAAGGGAAATTGGGCTTATGTGCAAAACAGAGGAAACTCAATTATTTTTCATTTTTTTTCTCATAACCAGTTTAACAAAACCCAATGATTTGGATGACCAAGACCAGGAATCGCGATTTTCATTTAGCAATTCCAGTTCGCCGCCTTCTATGCCAGTGAGTATGTGTTTCGTTTTTAATTAAATTTTTATATTTTTTTTTTTTTTGGAAATTTGGGAAAAGGGAAATGACGTAAGTATTTATTTTAAAATATGTTGACTTCTGTTATGATTATTCAAATGTTTAACCCCTTATACAGTAGGTTCCGAAAGAATGGGCCAATATTGGCCACTTCGTATCGGACCTAAATAAGCATGATATAAATATAGCGACGTGCTAGGTTTGGAATGTGTTGTGTTGATGGAAATATTGGGATGTACCAAGTCTGGAATGAAATCGGATGCTAATTTCACTTATTATGAGCTTCATGGATATTCAAGATTTTTAGCCTTTGTGGGGGGGGGGGTACCAGAAGGATCGATAGTGGATCGATATATCCCATCTTCACTACGGATCTTTTATTAGTGGAAATAATGAGATGTGTGTGTAATATAAAGAGAACCTGATGCTTATTTCGGATTTTATAAACTTTTTGGTTATTCAAAACTTTGACCCTTTGTGGGGGAGGTACCAGAAGAAATGGTCAAATCTCCACCGTTTTTTGAACAGATCCTGTGTTAATAGATATATCCAGATGTGCCAAGTCAAAATGGAATCCGATGTTAATTTCGCGTTTTATGAGCTTAATGGATATTTAAAATTTCGACCTTTGTGGGGGAGGTACCAGAAGGAATGGACCTATATTTAACACCAGATCTTGGGTTTATGAAAATATTGGGGTGTGTGAAATTTGAAGATAATCGGATTATTACATCACATTTTATGAGAGTTGTAATTATTCCAAATTTTGACACTTTGTGGGGGAGGTATTTGATGGAGTGGATCAGACCTAGCACTGACGAAAATATTTGGATTTGCAAAGTTGGCACAAAATCAGATTATCGTTTCTCTTGCTGTGCAGAAAATATATTTTTTGAAAATTTCGGCCATTTGTGGGGGAGGTACCAGAAGGAGTGGACCGACATATTCCATTTTCAAAGCATACCTTGTGTTAGTAAAAATAATAAAAGGTGTGTATGAAGAGAAATGGATGCTTATTTCGGATTTTATGATCGTTTTGCCTATTCACCCTTTGTGGGAGAGATACCAGAAGGAATGGTCCGACCGCTACCATCTTTATAACAAACCTTGTGTTGATGGAAATATTGAGATATATCAAGTGTAAATGGAATCGAATGTTAATGTTGCGTTTTATGAAATTCCAAAATATTCAAAATTTTGACCCTTTGTGGGGGAGATACCAGGAGGGGTGGGCCAATATATTCAATCTTCACACCAAACCTTGGTTTAATAAAAATATTGTGATGTGTGTATTTTGAAGACAATTGGACTTTTGCATCACATTTTTTAAAACTTTTTTTTTTTTTTTTTGGGGGGGGGGGGGGGGGTGGTAGGTGTGGTTGTACTTGATGGTGTGTACCGATATTGTCCAGTTTCTCAGTGACCTAGCATTGATGCAAATACTAGGATTTGCAAAGTGGGAGCAAAATTAGATCATCATTTCTCTTGCTGTGCTGTAATTTTTATACCCTACTCCACAAGGTGGTCAGGGTATTATGTCTTTGTGCATTTGTTTGTAACAGGCAAAAGGAAACGAGATAGACCCATAGTTACTTTTGATGATCTGCATAGAATCACATTCTGAGTCGATTTATGCATGTCCGTCCGTCCGTCTGTCCATGTATTTTTGTAAACAAAGTACAGTTCGCATTTATTGCCCTATTCAGATGAAATTTTGCACAAATCATTTTTTTGGCCCAAGGACGAACCCTATTGAAATTGGAGGTAATCGGTCAAAATTTAGATATAGCTCCCATATATATATTCGTCCGATTTGCCTTTTATTGTGCACCAAACGTGTAATATCAGTCCGAATAGTATGGAATTTTGCACATACGATCAGATTGGACCTCAAAATAAGTATGCCAAATTTGATCGAAATCGATTCAGATATAGCTATAGCTCCCATAAATATTGTTCATCCGATTTGTTATTTTTGTCCTCCGCAGCCGTAATATGAACTCTGTAACAACAATATTTGGGGAAATATATCAAATACAGCTCAGAAATACATTTGCTAAATTTTATCGAGATCGGTTCAGATTTGGATATAGCTCCCATATATATTTTTATCCGATTTCAAATTAATTGTGGCAATACAAGTCCGAATTTAAAAGATACAAATGCTTTAAATTATAATTACAATTCTCCCATAAAAACTTTTAATTGTTATCTCCGAACTCGATCTAAGTTTGATAATAATATTCCGATGTACCAAGATTCTCCCTTCGAGATTTATCGTGAGCACCAGCTGGACAGACAGACAGAGAGACGGACGGATCATCGCTAGATCGACTCCAAATGATTTGAAACGGATTTGGTCCAAAGAGACCTAGGGTCTAAAACCGTTATTTCGATGAGCCACGTTTTAGCCATATGGCTGAGGGTATAAAAAAAAATCGTTAAAAATTCTGTTAAAATCTTAAAAATACTGAATATAGGGAGTTACCGTTATTTTGGGGTCTGGGTTCTGCCACAGACTGTAGTACCCATTAGGAACTGGAAATTGGAAATTTTAAACAGTTTCGGGGAATAATGTATCTAAAATCATTAAAATAACTTATATATGAGGGCTACACGATGACTTGGATTGCATATGCAAATATCTTCATAGGCTGTAGTACCCATAATGAACTTCAAATACGAAATTTGAAACAATTCCGGTAAATCATCAAAATACCGAATATATGAAGGTACAGTTATATGGGTGCTAGAACAAAACGTGGACCTACATAGCCTACATAGCATTTTCAATACCAAAAGTCCTGCAGATGAACTCACATTTGAGTAAAATTTTATCAGCCTACTTAAATTCCTTCCCCAGACAGACAGACGGACGGACGGTCATCCTTAAATCGACATAGTATTTTATACTGATCAAGAATGTATATATATTTTGTGGGGTCTAAAATATATAAATTTCGAAGTGTTACAAATGAAATGACAAACTTAATATTCCATTCTTACTATGGTGGAGGGTATAAAAAACATTGGGTTTCAATACCCTATTTGATCTGCAAATATCAGTGGGATTGGTTGAAGAATACAATTGAAGTATTAAAATACAATGAAATGGGTTAAACGGCTATAGGGGGCAATACAAAAATCGGAACAGTTTTCGACTACAAGGATTCTTATCTGTTGCGAGTCTTAAATACCAAATTCAAAACAGCGTGGACAAATGCGGATAGGATCATCAACATATAGAATATGGGTGGGTATCGTTATATGGAAATCTTGGACCGATATGGATAATATTTTGAAACCGGTTGTAGAACACATCATGAACTACAAATGCCGAATTTGAAAAAAATCCAATGCAATCTGAAAATGTAGCCAAAATCGAAAAAATACTGAATATGTGGGGCTATAGTAAAACATGGACCTGTATATGGACCTACCACAAACTCTTAATATAAAATTCCTATTTCTTTGAAAAAAAGGGGCTAGGATCATAAAACAACTGTGCACGAAAAATGATCGAAATCGATCTATGGTTTTGTTTTTACCCTCCATGCAACAGTACCGCTCGATTTCAAGTATTTTGAAGGTTTTTTTTATACCCTCCACCATAGTATGGAGGTATCTTGATCAGCATAAAACTCAATGTCGATTTAGCAATGGCCGTCCGTCTATCCATCTGTCCGCCTGTGGAAATCACTCTAGATTCAGAACGAAATGATGTAAGTTGATAAAAATTTACTCAAATGTGAATTATGTCTTCAGGACTTTTGGTATTGAAAATGCGCCATGTAGGTCCACGTCTTCGTGTAGCCCCCATATAACGGTACCTCCCGATATGCGGTATTTTGATGATTTTAGCGACATTTCTTACCGGAATTGTTTCAAATTTGGTAATTGAAGTTTGTAATGAATACTACAGCCTAAGACAGAAAAATGAGCTATATAGGCCCACGTCTTCGTATTTTAGAGACATTATTTACCGGAACTATTTCAAATTTGGCATTTGAAGTTCGTAATGGATACTACAGCCTATGACAGAAAATTATTTGTGCAGGTCGAAGTCTTCGTATATCACCCATATGATTTTAGCGACATTATTTAGGTCCACGTTTTATAACCCCCATGGTACCACCCTATATTCGGTATTTTGATGATTTTAGCTATATTTCGGCCGGGCCGAACTTATAGCTTTCTTACTTGTTTTTTTGTAATACGTCAATTTTTATACAGGAAAATAGTTTTAGTGTAGCGCTATGTGATGTAATGACAAATATAATATTCCATTCATTTTGTGGTGCAGAGTATAAAAGAGTCGGAAATTCTTGTTTTTTTTCCCAAAGATATTTGCATTTTCCATAGAATAGTACTTTTAAAACCATATATTATTTGATATAAATCGTTGTTTTTTTGTTTCTTAGAACAATGGACCGGAAGAGGATCGTAATGTCAGTTGCCTGGATAAATTGCTGCTGAAATCCAATGATTGTGTCAACAACAATAACACCCTACTCGATTTACAGTCAAGTAGTATGGGCTCACCGACACCTTCGTCAACCACAAATCGACTGGTGGAGGACCGAAGTTCAACTCCCACAAAAACCCGTCCCATGTCTGGCGATGTTCAAGTGATATCGGCGGCTGGTGGTCATATCATTGCTGTGGCAAATCCTGCCTTGGCCTTAAGTCCCACAATGCAAGAGGCTATACATTTGAAACGGGAAACATCATCGCCGGATACATAAACCTACATCAATAATATAGTTGAGAATGTGTGCGTGTGAATAAATATCGCATTCGATTAGGAGAACAATGTGCAATTTGTAAAATAATAATAGAATGAAATATGTATTTCATAGAAGTATGGCCAACAAGTAATTTATAGTACTGTGATTAATAAATATTAGAAATAATATTAAAAGCATTGCAACAGAAAATGACCAACCTTATGTAAATTATTAAAATTAATTGTTTTTATTGGTGGGATGAGGAATACGAATCTTATATCAAAAAAAAAAAAAAAAACAAAAAAAAAAAACAAGTAAGCAAAGGCTATAGTCGTGCGGGCCGACCATGTAATACCCTACAACACTACAATATGTTGGAAGCCCCCTTATGCCCAAATCCATTTTGGAAGATTTCGCTTTTGAAATTATGTCACGGAGCACTGCCCTGTCCCTAACTCTCTTCTCATGCAAAATTCCCAGTTGGTTGGTTTAAATTGTGTGATCAGGAAAAATTTTCTGTTTTTGGTTCATTTGAACCCCTAAATATTTTACGATCATCTCCAAAAGCAAGAGGCCCCTCTGTATCTCCAAAAATATACTCATCTATATGATTTGCTTGATATTTGCTACGATATTTGGCTATATTTGTCAACGAAATCAGCATAAATAGCCAAAAGTTCGCCTTTTTGTCCATTTTAGATATCGCATGTAAGTCATTTTCAGCTTTTCCATAGGATGGTAATGTTGGTATTTTTTCACGTAAAAGTAGTGGTCTAACTCTACCCTTGTGAAAATTTTCGTGAGGATCGGACGATAATTGCAATCTTTATATAATAACCCCAACCTGTGTTGTAAGGTGAAAAATTTTACAAAATGTACAATTCAATATTATAAGTCAAATTGAAAAAATCGCATGCGATAAAAAATTTGAAAAATTAAAAAATGTCACAAAATACTACAAAATCGATATTAACATCATTATTGGCATCTTTTTATGCGGTTTTTTTAGATTTTATACTTTTAAGCCAGGAGGTCATTCAGAATTGACAACATTTGTAAAAATCGGTCCAGCCATTCTTGAGATATAAGTATTCTAGCTTACATCCCTTTCCTTTGTATTTACATATTGTATATATTTCGCTAAATACAACTGATATATTTACTGTCTGCATCTACGTAACGGTCAGACTTGAACCGTTTGTCTATTTGTGATTTCGCCGGAATTAAAAATATTAGCGGTTTTATGGAAAATTTTACTTTTATTTAACACCAATGTTATGGTCTATTTCACCCACTAAATATTAACCGATGAACATCAAATTTGGAGGGCTTCTTCCCAGCGTTAAGCTCTAGCCCCATGCTACCTTCCGCTTCAATGGGTCTATAATTGTGACCTGTAGAGCAACTGCAAAATCAGGAAATTTTTCAGTTTTTGGTCCATTTCAACCCCTAAATATTAGGCGATCATCTCCAAAAGAAATAGGGTTCAATTCTGACCTTAACCCCACCTCCATTTTCAATTTGGAGAGGATCGGGCCATAATTGCGACCTGTAGAGTGATTACAAATTAACATGGACAGACGGACGGACAGACATACATAGCTAGATCGACTCAGCTCGGCGAGCTAGGAAGATCCATCTATACTTTCCTATGTGGGAAACCAATATTTCGAGGCGTTACATAATTTTTGGCCCAATCAAACTTATAATACCCCCAACACATAATGTTGTAGGGTATAAAAAACAATAGACAATTTTCTGGCATAGGCTGTAGTATCTATTATGAATTCTAGATACGAAATTTGAAACAACTGCGGTGAATAATGTCCCTAAAATAGCGTATTATCGCTAGAAAGATTCTAGCAATAGTACTGTCTTTATGGTAGATGAATACAGGTAGTCGCATCGACACAGCTGCTGGGACAATTAGGAATTGGAATTGAACATTTTGAATGAAAAATAAATCAAATTTTTAAAAATTGTTTAAAAAGGCAGATCTTAATAAAGTCTGGTGGGCGTAGTATAAGAAAACATATAAAAACCGACTTATTTTTTTATACCCTCCACCATACTATGGAGGGTATATTAATTTTGTCATTCCGTTTGTAACTCCTCGAAATATTCATGTCAGACCCAACAAAGTATATATATTCTTGATCAGCGTAAAATTCTAAGACGATTTAGCCATGTCCGTCTGTCTGTCTGTGTGTCTGTCTGTCTGTCTGTCCGTCTGTCTGTCTGTCTGTTGTAATCACGCTATCTTTCGAACAAATTGAGATAGAAGGCTAAAATTTTGCACACATGTATTTTTTCCCAGTAGGCAGGTTAAGTTCGTAAATGGGCCATGTAGGTCCAAGTTATCATATACCCCCCATATAACGGTACCTCCCGATATTCGGTATTTTGATGATTTTAGCGACATTATTCACCGGAATTATTTCAAATTTGGTATTTGAAGTTCGTAATGGATACTAGAGCCTAAGACAGAAAATTATCTGTGCAGGTCCACGTCTTCATATAGCCCCCCGATATTCGGTATTTTAATGATTTTAGCGACATTATTTACAGGGATTGTTTCAAATTTCGTATATGAAGTTCGTAATGGATACTTCAGCCCATGCCAGAAAATTGTCTGTGCAGGTCCACGTCTTCGTATAGCCCTCATATAACGGTACCCCCATATTCGGTATTTTGACGATTTTAGCTACATTATAAACAGATTTTTCTTCAAGTTTCGCATTTAAATATTGTAATAATTTATGACAAAAGTTGCCTATGCAGGCCCACGTCGTCGTATAAGCATTCGGTATTTTTAAGATTTTAACAGAATTTTTAACGGGTTTTATTTTTTGGAAATTGCCAAATTTGTACCAAATGGTGGAGGGTATTAAAAGTTCGGCCCGGCCGAACTTACAGCTTTTTTACTTGTTTTTAAATAATTTCAAATTTTTTTGACATATCAATATTCTCAAACGTTCATGCATCTACCTGTATTCTTCTACCATTGTCATCATTAAATATTAGATTCGTTCCAACCTTGTTTTCCAAACTCCAGACACAATAGTCCAACGGATTGATATCCGGAGATTTTGGTGGCCATTGTGCACTGGAAATGAACCTCATTTTTTAACCATTCTTGGGTGGCGCGTGCTGAGTGCGATGGTGCTGAGTCCAGATTATTTTCGCCATAATATTCGGCATCTATTCTGATGCCACGGATGCCACCACCATGGCCGGCGTTAGAGTTCTGGTGGCCAACCGAAGGTGCACATTTTCAGCTGACCTCTTTGGTAAGTAAACTCGATCATTTTGTTTGTTTACAACAATGTTTTCTCATCGGAGAAAACCAATTTCGGCAGTTCAGCACTTTCGGCCAAGCGAAGCAACTCTTTAACTCTTTTCAACTCTTTTTAAAATGCCGAATATCGGGAGGTACCGTTGTATCGGAGCTATACGAAGACCTGGACCTGCATAGATAATTCTCTGTCACAGGCTGTAGCATCTATTACGAACTTCAAATACGACATATCAAACAATTTCGGTGAGTATTGTACCTAAAATCGTGAAAATACCGAATATAGGGAGGTACTGATATATGGGGCCTATACGAAGACCTGGACCTGCATAGACAATTTTCTGTCACAGACTGTAGTTCCCATTACGAACTCCAAACACGTAATTTGAAATAATTCCGGTGAATAATGACGCTATAATCATCAAAATGCCGAATATCGGGAGGTACCGTTATAGGGGGGCTATATGAAAACGTGAACCTACATGGCCCATATACGAACTTAACCAGCCTAATGGAAAAATAAACATGTGTGCCAAATTTTAGCTTTGTATCTCAATTCGTTCGAAAGATAGCGTGATTACAACAGACAGACGGACATCGCTAAATCGACTTAGAATTTTACGCTGGTGAAGAATATATATACTTTGTTGGGTCTGACACCCTCCATAGAATGGTGGAGGGTATAAAAATTATATAATGATGTAAAACAAGGTCTACAATGTGCATATAACTCTAGCCATACGTTGGAATGTATTGCTGAACACTCCACCTTACATCTGTCTAATTGATGCCGCAATTTCGTTATTATATTATATGTCTTTGATGGGACATTACATTGTTATTTTTCTTCAATAGATGGCACTGGTAGTGGAAAAATGTTATGTCACGATATAGTGACAAAGCATTATGTTATACTTTAACAGAGCTGACACATTTTAAGGGTTGTTGTTGATTTTTATCGATTCAATGTACAAGGAAATGCCCTGGAATAGATTTTTGAGAGCATGTCTATCATACCTGATATTTTTTCTGCTTATTTCCGCCATTTTTCGGCGATATCGGAATAACATATTTTTCTAAAATTTCAATGCATTTCTGTTATGTATTACCTGATAGAAAAATTAAATCCCATATGCATTTTGTCCAGTCTTTATAGTTCTATGACTTTGTTCTATGCCTTTGTATAAACTATGATCAAATGCACCTAGTGGCAAATAGCTGAATTAAATCACTCCAGCCATAGAAAACAGGCTGCTTTGGAATGCCCAGTACAGTATAAACAAGTTAACAAGTTAACAAGTAGAAAAGTAGAAAGTTCGCCCGGGCAGAACTTTGAATACCCTCCACCATTTGGAACGAATTAGAAAATTTTCAAAAAAATAAAATCCAATAAAAATTCTTTTAAAATCTTTAAAATATCTAATATAGGAAGGTGCCGATATATGGGGGGATATACGATATTGTGGACCTATAAAGACAAATCTATGTCTGCGTGTAAAGTACTCACAAGGAACTCCGTGTGTGGATTTTCAGACAATACGATTGGAAAATGTGGCTAAAATCATCAAAATACCGAATATCGCGGGGTACCGTTATATGGGAGCTATACGTTATCGTTAACCTATATAGAGAATTCTCTGTCGGTGGGTAAAGTGCTCACAAAGAACCCCTTGTGTACAAAGAACCCCTTGTGACCATTCCGTTGAAAAATGTGGGTAAAATCATCAAAATACCGAATATCGGGGGTACCGTTACATGGGGGCTATACGATATCGTGGACCTATATGGACAATTCTCTGCCGAGGTATAAAGTACCCACAAGGAACTCCTTGTGTGGATTTTCAGACAATTCCGATGAAAAATGTGGGTCAAATCATAAAATACCGAATATCGGGAGGTACCGTTATATGGGGGGATATACGATATCGTGGACCTGTATAGACAACTCTCTCTGGGGGTGAAGTACTCACAAGGAACTACTTGTGCTGATTTTAAGACAATTCCATTGAAAAGCGTGGCTAACATCATCAAAATACCGAATATCGGGGGGTACCGTTATATGGGGGCTATACGATATTGTGGACCTATATAGATAATTCTCTGCCGAGGTATAAAGTACCCACAAGGAACTCCTTGTGTGGATTTTCAGACAATTCCGATGAAAAATGTGGGTCAAATCATAAAATACCGAATATCGGGAGGTACCGTTATATGGGGGGATATACGATATCGTGGACCTATAAAGACACTTCATTTTGAGGAGGTAAAATGCCCACAAGGGACACCTTTTGTGGATTTTCAGACAATTCCGTTGAAAAATGTGGGTAAAATCATCAAAATACCGAATATCGGGGGGTACCGTTATATGGGGGCTATACCATATTGTGGACCTATATAGATAATTCTCTGCCGAGGTATAAAGTACCCACAAGGAACTCCTTGTGTGGATTTTCAGACAATTCCGTTCAAAAATGTGGCTAAAATCATCAAAATACCGAACATCGGGGGGTACCGTTATATGGGGATTTTCAGACAATTCCGTTCAAAAATGTGGGTAAAATCTTCAAAATACCGAATATCGGGGGGTACCGTTATATGGGGGCTATACGATATTGTGGACCTATATAAATAATTCTCTGCCGAGGTATAAAGTACCCACAAGGAACTCCTTGTGTGGATTTTCAGACAATTCCGTTGAAAAATGTGGGTAAAATCATCAAAATACCGAATATCGGGGGTACCGTTACATGGGGGCTATACGATATCGTGGACCTATATAGATAATTCTCTGCCGAGGTATAAAGTACCCCTTGTGTGGATTTTCAGACAATTCCGTTGAAAAATGTGGGTAAAATCATCAAAATACCGAATATCGGGGGTACCGTTACATGGGGGCTATACGATATCGTGGACCGATATAGCCCATCTTCGAACTTGACCTGCCTGCAGACAAAAGAGAGATCTGTGCAAAATTTTAGCTTCCTATCTTAATTCGTTTAGACTGTAGCGTGATTACAACAGACGGACGGACAGACGGACGGACAGGGCTAAATCGTCTTAGAATTTTACGCTGATCAAGAATATATATACTTTGTTGGGTCTAAAATGATTATTTCGATGAGTTACAAACGGAATGACGAACTTAATATACCCTCCATACCTTTTTTGGTGGAGGGTATAAAAAGCAGTAAGTATACCGTAATATTAAGTAAGTATATCGTAATATTATTATCAAACTTAGATCGAATTCGGAGATGGGCAATATCGCTCCACTCCTTCTGGTACCTCCAAAACAAAATGTCAATATTATCAAAAAATAAAAAAAAAAAATAATAAATAAATAAACAATAAAATAAATAATAATAATAAATATTGATATAAATATGATCATAATCTGATGCGAAAATGGACAATATCGGTCCATTCCATCAAGTACCTCCCACACAAACGGTCAACATTTCGAATAACTATATCTCTTATAAAATGTGATGTAATTGTCCAATTATTACATTACATTACAATATTTTTAATAACCCAAGTTCTGATGTGAAGATGGGATATATCGGTCCACTCCTTTCGGTATCTCGCCCACAAAGGGTCAAAATTTCGAATATTCATGAAGCTCAAAAAACACGAAATTAACATCCGATACCATTCACACTTGACACATCTCAATATTTTCATAAAGATAAGAACTTTTATAAATATGGTAGAGATCGGACCATTCCTTCTGGTACCTCCCACATAAAGGATCCAAGTTTTTAATAACCAAAACGATCATAAAATCCGAAATAAGCATCCGGGTTTCTTCAAATTACACACATCACAATATGTTTTTTAACCCAAGGTCTGGTGTAAATATATCGGTCCCCTTCTTCTGGTACCTCCCCCACAAAGAGTCAAAATATTGAATATTCATGAAACTCATAAAACACGAAATTAACATCCCATTGCATTCAGACTTGGTACATCTCAATATTTCCATCAACCCAAGATCTGTTATAAAAATGATAAGTGTCGGACCATTTCTTGTGGTACCTCCCTGCATTGGTTTCAAGATTTTTAAAAACAAAACGCTCAAAGAAAGCAAAACAAGCATCCAACTCTCTTCAAATTTTACACATCCAAATATTTTTGCTAACGCAAGTTCTGTTCTGGTACCTCACCCACAAAGGGTCACAATTTCCAATAATTTTATCTGTAATAACTATCGAAATATTTCTCTTAACAGGAAATCTGATATGAGTATGTCATTTATCGGAATTTATGATTTCGCTAAAATTGGAAATTAATGTTCGATTTCCTTCATGAAAATGGAATACTTCGGTCCGCAATATCTGTTACCCCACGCATATTTCCACATTTTCCAAAAATTGGCACATATTTCATGTAAAGTATAGGAAGTAGTTCATATAGTCCAAAACTTGTTATATATTTATTAGTCTTAGGTCAGATACGAATTGGTCAATATTGACCAACTGGTTCGGAACCATACCTAGTAAGAAGGGTATATTAAGTTCGTCATTCCGTTTGTAACTCATCGAAATAATAATTTTAGACCCAACAAAGTATATATATTCTTGACGGCCTGTCCGTCCGTCTGTTTGTTGTAATCACGCTACAGTCAAAACGAATTAAGATAGGAAGCTAAAATTTTGCACAGATGTGGCCTTTATCTGCAGGCAGGTCAAGTTCGAAAATTGGCAATATCGGCCCACAATATCGTATACCCCCCAAAATTCGGTATTTTATTGATTTTAGCCAAATTTTTCAATGGAATTGTCAGAAATTCTACAACGATAGTTCATTATGAGTTCTTTACCCACTGAAATAGAATTGTCTATATTGGTCCACCATATCATATATCTCCCATATAACAGAACCTCTCGATATTCGGTATTTTTATGATTTTAGCCACACTTTTCAACAGAATTGTCTGAAATCCACTCAAGGAGTTCCTTGTGAGTACTTTACCCCCTTAAAGAGAACTGTCTATAACAAGGTACATTATACCCCTAGCCATACGTTGGAGTGCATTGTTGAATACTCCACCTTACATCTGTCTAATTGATGCCACAAATTCGATGATAATTGTTTGGTTCTATTTAAATGATAATCGGAACCTCAATAAAAGCTATTCATCTGTTATCCCTTTTAATGGTGGAATTAAATCTCTGTTCAAATCTTTGTTCTCCCACCACAGCTACCACAGCTACCACCACCACCATAATCGTCATAGCGCCAATGCATCTGCCTGTCCTGGCGTCATCTGCATAAATCTGTTCTTTCTTTTTGAAAAGTGAACAGCAACAATAGAAAAAGGAAAGCATTTCTGATTAGAATCAAAGAATATTCATTAACCTTTACCTTAAGGCTAAGGCCTTCGTTCATTAAAACTCATAAAGAAATATTTAAATTACAAAAAAAAGAGTTTATTATTTTTTTTTTAATACATATGCATAAGTTATAAAAAGAAAATAAATGAAAAAAAAAAAAAACTGAATAAATAATCTCTCTTCCACCTTCATCATCAGTTCATCTGGCTAGATGGATGGCTGCACTTATTGTTCCATTCGTGCGTTACTTATTCTACGAATTCTAAGGAGTATCGGCAATCTTCTGCTGGATCCAATCCATGAAGTGTTGTGTGCTCGTGTAGACACCGGGGATTTCGGGGCGGGCACAACCAATGCCATATGACACGACACCAATCAAATAATAGCGTACATTGTTCTGGTAGGGCTAGAGAGTGGGAGAAGAGAAATTAATTGTGATTGCTTTCACTTTAACCAGGTGGTTGTTCTTACCTCTGGTATCATTAGGGGACCACCAGAATCTCCCTGGCATGTATCCTTGCCGCCCGACAATACACCGGCACACAGGACAGCACTGTCAAATTGATTTTCGGTAAACAGACGATTTTGCTTCTGATAACGATCGCGACACACGGCATTGTCGTAGACGGGAATTTGAAGTTCTTGCAAAACATTGGCCGACACACCGCCCTCCATGGTCTTGCCCCAGCCAACAACAAATGGTGTGTGCTTGACATAGGATTTTTGTCGTAACGCTGGGGTTGTGGGCATACAAATGGGGGAGATGAATTCTGAAAAAGTCGTAAACAAAAAAAAATGGTTAATTTTGTTGCAAAAAAAAAAAAAAAAAAAATAAATAAATAAATAAATAAAATAAAATAATAAACAAATAAATAAATAAACAAACCAGTAAAGAAAGTTCTACAGTCGGGCGGGGCCGATTTTATGATACCCTACACCACTTTGGTAATTTAGTTGAGCTCCCCATAAGAATTAAAAGTTTTTATGGGAGAATTCAATCATACACGCTATGATTATAATTATAATTTAAAATTCAAAGGACTAAATATGCCAAAGCATTTGTATCTTTTAAATTCGGACTTGTATTGCCCATTCGGTGCAAAATTAATTTGAAATCAGATAAATATATATATATGGGAGCTATATCCAAATCTGAACCGATCTCAATAAAATTTAGCAACGATACTTCAGAGCTGTATTTGATATATTTCCCTGAATATCGTTGTTCGGGAGTGCATATTACGGCTGTGGGTAACAAATACAACAAATCGGATGAACAATATATATGGGAGCTATAGCTATATCTGAACCGATTTCGATCAAATTTTGCATACTTATTTTCAGGCCTAATTTGGTTGTAAGTGCAAAATTCCATACTATTCGGGCTGATATTACACGTTTGGTGCACAATAAAAGGCAAATCGGACGAAGATATATATGGGAGCTATATCTAAATTTTTACCGATTATCTCCAATTTCAATAGGGTTCGTCCTTGGGCCAAACAAATGTTGTTTGGAAAATTTCATCTCAATCGGATAATAAATGCGACCTCATTTTTGTTCACAAGAATACATGGACGGACGGACTGACACGCATAAATCAACTCAGAAAGTGATTCTATGCAGATCATCAAAAGGAACTATGGGTCTATCTCGTTTCCTTTTGCCTGTTACAAACAAGTTCGGCCGGGCCAAACTTTTAATACCCTCCACCATTTCGAAGGAAATTGAAAAATTTCAAAAAACACAAATCCGAAAACTACCACTTAAATTAAAACTGTTATATGGGGACTATACGAAGACGTGGTGGACCTGTCTACGAAATTTGTTGTCATAGGCTGTAGTGTCCATTACGAACTTCAAATACGAAATTTGTTACAATTACGATGAATAATGTCGCAAAAATCATGAAAATACGGAGTATCGGAAGGTACCGAAGACGTGGACCTGCACAGACAATTTTCTGTCTTGGGTTGTAGTGCCCATTAGGATCTTCCAGCAGGAAATTTTGAAACAATTTCGGGAAATAATAATGCTGAAATCATCAAAATACCGCATATCGGGAGGTATCGTTATATGGGGGCTATACGAAGAGTTGGACCTGCATACAAAAATTGTTGTCATAGGCTATAGTACCCATTAGGAATTTCCAGTACGATATTTGAAACGATTCCGGTGAATAATGTTGCTGAAATCATCAAAATACCGAATATCGGGAGGTACCGTTATATGGGGGCTATACGAAGACGTGGACGGCTTTCGTTTTACAAGCCGTCCTTGAGACAAAATGTGATCTAAATCTTGAAAATGTGATCTGAATCTTGAAAATGGGATCTAAATCTGGAAAATAGGATCTAAATCGTCAGAATATCGATAGGTAAGGTAATATGGGGGCTATAAAAAAGTGGACCAACATGACCCATTTATGAACCCAGCTTGCCTACTGACAAAATACACACGTGTGTAAATTGTTATCCTTCCATCTCAATTCGTTCGTAAGATAGCGTGATTAAAACCGACAGACAGGCAGATGGGCATGGCTTAGAATTTTATGCTGAATATACATATACTTCGTTGGGTCTAACCATAGAATGATGGAGGCTATATAAAACCCCATTTGGAAATGAGTTTGGGAATTATAATCCTGTTCCTTCTTCAAATTATCCTTCTTCTCTTATTTTCATCATTAGCTAAAAGAACTCAACTTACCTGTAAATTCGACATTACGTTCCAGATATAAAATGGCAAGATCACTGTGGCCATTGCGGGCATTGTATTCAGGATGTTTTTCGCTCTATAATAAAAAGATATAAGAACTATTTATAATATGCATTACTTTTAAAGAAAATCTTCGCACACTTACCCGAACAACATTTATATCAACCGTGCGGGCCTCCGTTTCTGTCGACAGATCATGTTCACCCAGGCGAACAAATTTCCTGCAAAAAAAAAAAAAACAAAGAATTTTTACAATTTTAATGTTCTCCCAAATATCCTCCCCTTTTGATTCTTACAAATCTCTCCTCAAACAATGGGCAGCAGTCACCACATGGCGAGCCGTCACCAAGGCTCCGCCACACTTGAATGGTGATGGTGACAATTGATCATCATAACCGATCAGGGCAACCCATGGCCAGGCCCCTCTTTTACTCACTTCACCACCAACGATTTTCTTATACGAATTGCTGGTGTAACCACAACCCTCTTCGACGGAGGGCAATCGACGGGGTATAACATCATTGTTTTTGGTAATGGGACTCGAGGTGACTGGCTGCGCGGCTTGAGGACAGCAGACCAGGGTATTGGTACCACCACAGATGGTATTGGAAATACGTAGATAATTGGTGAACACCGGATCTGTTTGCTTGATTTGTAGTTCTTCAACCAATACCGGGCAATTGATCAGGGTGACACAGGTGCCCTCACGACTATCGGGTCCGCGGCAGGATGTGGCCTTGTTATCGATGGTGGGAATGGAAGGTGCAATGCTGGGTGCTGGGGTAGGTGGCGGTGTTGGACGCACAACTGGGGCCTGAGTAACGGGCTGTACCGGCGATTGTGTGACGGGATTCAGAAAGGGATTTGTGGGATTAATATTTGGCCGCTGGGTAGCGATGAAGGGATTAGTTGGAGCTGGTGTTACCGGCCTTGCGGTTTGACGATTGGGTCTTGTTGTTGGTTGCGGTTGTGGTGGGGGAGCTGTTATTGGATTTGAGCAACATACCTAAGGGACATTTTTATATTTTGTTAATAACATCAAGGGCGGATATGTGATTGACAACTTACCACAGGATCACCATTAATGCTCCTTGTGCCGCACGCCCTTTGTGACTGTATGACATATTGTTGGGCTTGTCGTTGATTGGTTGTTTGAAAAGCATTTGCTATCTGTGGACAATAGCTTAGGGTTACACACTGCCCGTAGTAGTTTTCAGGTGTAACACAGTATTGAGAATTGACTGGAAGAGAAGAGGGTGGAAATAATATAATTAGTATTGACAAATACAATTACGAGAATAAATATAACAAGTAAAAAAACATAAAGTTCGGCCGGGCCGAATTTTTAATACCCTCCACCTTAGGGTAAAGGAAACATTAGAACCCATTGTGACCCACAAACACCAATTTTTAGACATATTCGTGGGAAAATGTGGCAGAAAGCATCAAAATATCGAATATCGGGAGATTGGCCTTGTTATACAAAAACGTAAACCTATACATACAATGTTTCGCCAACGGAGCTAGAACCCATTAGGACACACAAATACCAATTTTTAGACAAATCCGCGAAGAAATGTGGCACAATATCATCAAAATACCGAATATCTGGAGGTACCGTTATATGGGAGCTATACCAATTCGAGGACCTATATATGCAATGTTTCGCCACCGTAGCCAGAACTCATTAGGACACACAAATACAAATTTTTAGGCAAATCCGTGAAAAAATGTGACAGAAACCATCAAAATACCAAATATCGGGAGGTACCATTATATGGAGGCTATACCAAATCGTGGACCTATATATGCAATGTTTCTCCACCGGATCTAGAACCCATTATGACCTACAACTACCAATTTTCAGACAAATCCGTGAAAAAATGAGGCAAAACTCATCAAAATACCAAAAAATCGGGAGGTAACGTTATATGGGGGCTATACCAATATTCAATACCAACCTTCCTAGACACAATACAAATTGTTCTGCTAAATTTTGACGCTCTACGTCAAATAATGTGGGCTATAATGTGGGACGGACATCGTTAAATCGACTTAGAATTTTATGCTGATTATGAATATGTATACTTTATGTGGTCTACGACGAATATTTAGGGATGTTACAAACGGAATGACAAAGTTAATATACCCTCCTTTCCAAGGTGGAGGGTATAAAAATTAAACCGTACTGGGAAGAAGTCTACACAATTCTGTGAGTAAAAGTAAGTGCAAGGTTTAAAATTCTGAACTATAGCGATTCTGTTATAACTAATTTATCCGACCATGAACCCGTAAAAGTAGGGGTGCCAATATGTTTGGACTTAAAGGGTGAGATGAAAAAAAACTGCAACGAACTTCAGATTGTTGTCATTTGTAAGCCACTCATCCGACAACTGTTAAAATTATTTAATTCTCATTCAAATGTTTACAAGCCTACAGAAGCATTTTGGTGCGAATTTTCCAGAAGAAAAGTTATTCGTGATGGAATTCAAGCGTGATAGTGCGATTTTTTTATATTTGGCTGGAAAACTACAAGTGGCTATCTTTAGTGCACTCCAGCATTTAAATGTGAATAAATCTGTTGTGTCTCGTACCATCGCTCGTTACCGTGATACTGGTAGCGTAGCCCGACGTCAAGGAAGTGGACGGAAGAAAACAGCAACATCAGCAGAAATGGTTCTGAAAGTAAAGAAGCGACTTGATCGAAACCCACGTCGCAGTGGCCGAAAAATAGCTCGTGAACTGAACATATCGCAATATTCTATTCGGCACATATTGAAAAATGAGCTCGGGGTAAAGCCATTGAAATTCCAAAAAGTGCAGGAACTTGCACCGCAACAGAAATAAAATAGACTCAAAAGAACTAAAGAGTGGCTTCGCTTGGCCGAAAGTGGTGAACTGCCGAATTTGGTTTTCTCCGATGAGTAAACATTCGTTGTCCAGCAGTTTGTAAACCAACAAAATGATCATGTTTACTTGCCAAAGAGGTCAGCTGAAAATGTGCACCAGAACTCAAGCCGATGGCTGCTCTCTTAATCGACCGTGACACCAGAATAAATGCCGAATATTATCACGAAAATAATCTGGAGGGTGTATTAAAGCCTTGGGCACGCAAACATTTTGGCCGCAGATCTTGGACATTCCAACAGGACTAAGCACGCGCCACCCAAGAATGGTTACAAAATGAGGTTACCGGCTTCATTCCATCTCACAATGGCCACCAAAATCTCCGGATACCAATCCGTTGGACTATTGTGTCTGGAGTATTTTGGAAAGCAAGGTTGATACCAAAAAAATACCAAAGTGTCGATCACCTCAAGCAAGCGCTTCGCCGGGAATGGACCAAAATACCGCAGAACTACATTCGGGCAGCGTGTGATGGTTTCATTGGCCATTTGAAGGCCATAATTCGCCATAATTTTTTATCTCACCCTGTATGTGAAATCGGCCGAGAATATATATGGGAGCTATATCCAAGTCTTAACCGATTTCGCGAATCAGAATAAATTCCGAATATTATAGCGAAAATATTTTGGAGGGTGTATTAAAGCCTCGGGCACGCAAACATTTTGACCGCAGACCTTGGACATTCCAACAGGACTCAGCACCATCGCACCTAGTACGAGCCACCCAAGAATGGTTACAAAATGAGGTTCCAGCGCACAATGGCAACCAAAATCTCCGGATCCCAATCCGTTGGACTATTGTGTCTGGAGTATTTTGGAATGCAAGGTTGGCCATTGGCACTAAAAAATACCAAAGTTTCGATTACCTCAAGCAAGCGCTTCGCCGGGAATGGGCCAAAATACCACAGAGCAACATTCGGGCAGCGTGTGACGGTTTCATTGGCAGTTTGAAGACCATAATTCGTGCCAAAGGCGACCAATTCGAACAAATCTAAACTTATTCTAAAATTTGATCCTGTTTCCGACATTTTTTGCTTTCATTCAATAGAATTAAAAAAAAAAATGTAAAAATAATGGCGTTTTACTTTTTTGCAGTTTTTTTTTATCTCACTCTGTATATGGGAGCTATATCCTAATCTGATCCGATCTCGATAAAATTTAACAGGCATATTTTTGAGCTCCATAAGTTATCTGGCACCAAATATCATTCCTGTGTAGTGCATATTACGCACATGAGGGGCTTTTCGAATAAAACATATATGTGGGAGCTAAAGCTATATCTCAGCCGATTTTAATCAAATTTGAAGTATTTGTTTCTAGGATGAATTAAGTCGGAGTTTCCAAAATTCAGTTCCTTTGAACTGATATTGGCCATTTGGAGCGCAATAAACTATATATCGGATAAAGATATATATGAGAGCTATATCCTAATCTGATCCGATCTCGATAAAATTTAACAGGCATATTTTTGAGCTCCATAAGTTATCTGGTACCAAATATCATTCCTGTGTAGTGCATATTACGCACATGAGGGGCTTTTCGAATAAAACATATATGTGGGAGCTAAAGCTATATCTCAGCCGATTTTAACCAAATTTGAAGTATTTGTTTCTAGGATGAATTAAGTCGGAGTTTCCAAAATTCAGTTCCTTTGAACTGATATTGGCCATTTGGAGCGCAATAAACTATATATCGGATAAAGATATATATGAGAGCTATATCCTAATCTGATCCGATCTCGATAAAATTTTAACCAGCATATTTTTGAGCTCCATAAGTTATCTGGTACCAAATATCATTCCTGTGCATAGTGCATATTACGCACATGAGGGGCTTTTCGAATAAAACATATATGTGGGAGCTATAGCTATATTTCAGCCGATTTTAATCAAATTTGAAGATGAATTTAGTCGGAATTTCCAAAATTCAGTTCATTTGAATTGATATTGGCCATTTGCAGCACAATTAAAATGAAATCGGTTAAACAAATATATCGGAGCTATATCTAAATTTGAACCAATTCTCACCAATTTCAATAGGGTTCGTCCATGTCAAACAAGTATTGTTTGCAAAATTTCATCTCAATTGGATAATAAATGCGACCTGCATGACCTGACAGACGGACGGACGGATTGACATGCATAAATCGATTCAGAAAGTAATTCTATGAAACTCCTCAAAAGTAACTATGGGTCTATCTCGCTTCCTTCTCCATGTTACAAAACAAATGCACAAAGACATAATACCCTTACCACTATATAGTGTGGGGTATAAACAGATTATGATTTAACATTGAGTACGTTGCGGAAGTGTTTGGGTTACAATCAAATTAGCTATTTTAACATGTCAACTCTTTAAACATCCGCAACTACAACATTATACTTCAAATTCCGCAATTTTCAAGCAATCTTTGTCCCCCAAAACAAGATTTAGTTAATATCATTTTTCTGTCTTAAATAAAATGAATCACTTTTTTTTTTAACGAAATAGCAAACTTTCAAATTCCTCAAAAAAAAAAAAAATGTTTATTATGAATCATTCGCATAAAGTGTATATTAATTTATTTAAAAAAACCTGTCCGTACGACCTTGCTATACTTATTTAATTTGGTTATAAAATCCTGCATCAATTATGATGGCCGAAAAGAAAAAAAAAATACCCCAAGAGTTTGTGTCTTAAGTCTTTTTCTAGGAATTAAAGAAGATAAATGAGGGAGCATCTACGAATGACGCTTGTGTCTTAAGTCTTTTGTTGACTTTCAACACTCAAATGTAATAACAACAATCACTCGCGAATCGTGAATCCGGCATTCGTATTCAAATAGAGTTATAGACTCTTGCAATGTACTCTCTTAGATTGTTTCTCTTTTCCATTGTTGCTGAATGACATCCACATCCACTCATGGTTTTATTCTCTTGTGTTGTTATTTGAGTTTATTGACAAAAATTCAAGCAGAAGAGAAATCGAAAATGCATGTTTAAAGCAGAACTGCTCAAAACCGTGTGCTAGCACATGAGTACAAAAAAAGAGATTATTTAAGAGAAAACAAAAATGCTAATTTTCTTTAAAATCTATCCATTAAATTCAATTGTTTTTAAACTTGGATGTTGTTCAAAATTAAATTATAATAAAGCGAATTATTACAAAAAAATTTTAAATTATGTTTTAACACTAGTTTTTTGGATGATTAAAAAAAAAAAAAAAAAAAAAAATCTAAGAGAAATTGGACTGGTGAGCGAAGTCTGATTTTTGAGCAGCGCTGTTTAAATTAATTGAATACCCTCTTGGAATTGTTAAGTTTTGTTTTTTTTTTTCTCAAGGTCATGGTATTTGGT